CCATATCTCCATGGCAGTCTTGAGGTGCTTAATTTTGGAGAAGGTGATGGGGTCAAGTGTCTTGAAGATGGCTGCTTTGGCGACGTTATCCAGATTGTGCTTTTTGCAATCTCTATCATCCCATTTTTCCTTGGGCTTTGGAATGTACTGGACTACGTCTGGAGTTGCTGGATTCCTCTCAAGATTCTCCATTTGGATTTTCAAGGGTCCATCCTCAAGCACCATCCACATGCAATCATGTAGAGCGTAGAGGTGTGCTTCCATCATGATCTTCCAATCATCATAACCTAGAAGAGAAAACTTGGGCAAACCGTGTTCCATATTGTTCACCATCTTGATCGCTTCTCGTTAATCTAAACGTAGACAGTGAGAAGACTGCTCCGATACCAATTGGTGGTCCCAAAGTGGTGAAATACAAAGTCTAGAGGGGGGGGGGGGTGAATAGACTTTGTTACAGATTTAAAATCTTTTTCGTTTCTTTTGAAAACGTGAAAATGAGTGTTAATCTAGAGTCCTTGTGAACTTTAGATTGTGTGCGGAATTTTGGTGGGTAGAGTGAGCAGTAATGAATATGGATAGGTTAGTTTTCACAGTTAATATAATTGCAAGTAAAAATAAAGATAAGAGAGAGACACGCAAACTTTAACGAGGTTCGAAGGTGGGGTAATCCTTCTACGTCCTCAAAAATCACTATGTAGTTGGTTGTTGAATAATGAACCAACAATTATACTTGTGTGAATTTCTCCACGGTATATCTTCACAAGACCAATGTTGCTACTGCACTCGTGCTGGCTTTGTTGTTCCTTCAAAGGTCAAGCTTCTTCAACAACTGCAAGATCCAAACAATAGGACTTGCAAGATCAACTTGTAAGAGAGTTGACCTACCCCCTTTTTAATCAATAAGTTTGATCAAAAGTAATATCCTTCAACGTGGTGTGGTGCTTGAGGCAAGGAAACCTTCAAGTGTTTACATTATAGCTTTTTGGAAGGAGGAGAAGTTTGCTTCAGGATAAGGAGTTTAGAAATCTCTCTTTATCAAGCTTTTTGGGCTAACTGTGAATGAGATAGCTTTTGTGATTGCTTCGTTGTGTTGTTGTATCTCATCGTACTCTCTCCAGTCTTCCAAGGATGCTATTTATAGCTGGATTGGATAATCTATCCGTTGAATCATAATAGACTATCCGTTGCATTTGCTGGCTTCAATTTTGAATGAAGATTGTGATTTGAAGATTCTTCGTTGAAGTGGGTGTTTGGACGTACCCAATTGTTGAGAAAGGATTCCTTTTTCCACAAAATCCGTCTTCTAGCCGTTGTTCAAGAATTCAAGACTGTAGCACTTTACTCTGTTTGTCTTCTAGTGCTTGTTTAGGAATTCTGGGCAGGCTCTTTAATTTTAGAGGCCCAGACTTTGTCTTCGAGTAATTTGTTATTGAATCAGCATAATTATCTTCAATCTAGCCGTTGAAAATCAAGAGATTGATTTTTCCTTGCCAACGGGTAGAATTTCTTCATTCAGGACTTAGATAATTTTCTAAGTCTTTTCTCACTTGTCCGCTTTCTGAGAATTCCGGTCTTCAGTGAGTCTTCCGATTCTTAGCTGACAAATCTGGATGAGTCATTTTCAGACTTCCGGGTGAGAAAGAGATCCGCGCTAGTCTTCCGATTTGGATGACTTAGCCTTCAGCGGGTTGTGGCGAGACATCCGGTTCTTATGTAGTCTTCTAGATCTGAGGATTAACATCTGATTGAGAAATCCTTACTTGTCTCTGACACTTCCGATCAAGATATCCAATTTTCACATCACTGAATTTGATTAAGTCTTCAGGCATCAAAACGCTTAAAGAAATATCACAGTTTTATTGGAAATCTCAAGAGCTCGGTTTTGACAATATTTCTAAAAAGAAAAATTACATTGAATATTGGGGGAGACTTAAAGTCCCTAATACATTCTAAATACATCATCATCAAAATCTATAATATTTTTCCCAACACTCACAAAAGAAGTAAACGGCGTAGGATGTTCCTGACACTCGCGCACATCATCACCAATTTCCGTCACCATCATCGACAATCATCATCACAATCTGGAAGCTTTGTTGTAGGAGTGTGTGCGTGATAATGTACGAAGAACCTCCGTTCGTTCCTATGTTTGCAGGTAAGTTACTCCGTACAGTAAACAGTATATGAACCTCTAATTTTCAATTTTGTAACTCACACAGAGACTTTAATGTAACTGGATGAGGATTTTTCGTAGTAGTCGTATTGAACCATGTTTAAATGCATGAAGAAGGGGTAAAAGATTATTTTGTTTGTCACCCTGTTTTCAGACAGTATGTTATTTAAATTAAAGTGTCACAGTGTTGGGAAACGAAACTTGGATAACGCAGCGGATAACAAAAATTTATAGTCCAAAACTCGATTCCACCCAAGAACAACTTACGTAAATTACTAGCTATAGTAAGAAATTTACCTTAACGGTAAAAACAAAGAACGGAGGAACGGTCGGGGATGGTTTTGAGGAGATGAACGTAGCGCCAAACGTATGAAGCCTCCAACGTATCCACACGAACTTGCTCCGGAGTCCAAGATTAAACTTGTGCTAGCAAGTTTAATATAGGATAGTAAAAAAACTATAATAATACTACTTTGGGAGTAATAAATATATAGTAAAATATTTATCTTATAAATATTTTTATAATATGTTGTGTATATTTCTAACACTTTCGAAAAATAATTTTTCTCCTCTATCTCTCTATATGGCCGAAAATCACACACATAAAAATGGGGAGGGATACTCACACTATATAATACAATGTATTAAGAAAATGCTAGGAAATTGCTTAGGGACAAAAACAAATTAGGCTTAATTCATTGTTCCCAACCAACACAACAAGACAAGTATAATTTTGTTAATCAAATATTTGATTATAAAATCAAATATTTTTTGTATTTTTTCCCTTAGAATTTCGGCCATAGCATATTAAAATACATTACATTTTATTTTTGCATCAATAATTATCATATAATTAAAATGATGAAAATAAAAGTAATATATATATATATATATCGGCGCTACATATATATATATAATAAAATTTGTTTTGTCAAAATATAATTATCATATAATTAAAATGACACAAACAAAATATAATTTTAAAATACATATGTATTTTCGAAATACATATATATATATAAAATTATCACAACTATATATTTAATATTACTTCCACTAGTGTAGTATATTACTCCCTTACAAGTCCTAAGTGTGTGACCCTTTAGGTATCCATAACACGGCAATGATATTAATAAAATTAATACCATAGATAATAAGCGGTATCTAGCAACACATTATTACCCCCAGATTATGAAAAAGACGTTCATCTCATCAATACCTTCTATAACACAAGACATTCTATAACTATTATCCTTCTGTCCTAAATGTCATGATTTAACACAAGGCATGGGATGTGTATCCTTGTATAGTTAAATCAGCTGTTACTGCATCCCAAGTAGACTGGCAGGGATCAGATATTTATCAGTCTCTAGATAGCGACATATCTGGGCATGGCCATGCACTTTCCCAAGTCCTACTATTCAGTGGGCCCATTGACATTATACTTCTATACAGTAGAAGGGACAGATCCTGTATCTGTTATTCACATCTCTAAATATGCTTAGCGGCATACCCAACGCATAACTGTACGTCTACCAGTATTTCAGATAGCATTAGAGAATACTGATAAACACATTACTCACATTACCCACATATCAGAGAATGTAATAACTTCAAGTCTGAGGATAGTTATAGCAAGGTCGATTTGAGAATACTGATAAACACATTACTCACATTACTGTAGATCCATGCAGTATTCTCAAGATGGGTCAATCGAGTCACATATTATCGATAAAATATGCACCTACGTACAGATTAAGATATCACAATACCTATAGTCTATGAGACGCAACTATCTCATCTAGTACGTACTAGTGTTGATACGTTATGACGTCCGTATTATCATAAAGTGCGACTAGGGATATTCTAGACATAGCCTTCGTCAATAAGTAACAGTTTCATAATCAGGACATCGTAGTCCTCATTTATGTTACTGAAGCGCCATCGTCTATGGACTAAAGCTATGTTATGTTACACGAGATATAAAACATACTTCAAGGCCTTTTCATTCATGATAAAGTGTACAGTTACATAGGTATTTGATTGTCGCTAGGGCACCTAAATACAAAACACAGACATATGATGTATGCAATAATTGGAATAAGGGGAATTGTAGGGTTGTGACAGGTCTGTTGTTTTTTGACGAATATAGTTGTTATATCCTTATGTTTAGTCAGACAATTACGTGTTTACAGTATTTCAACACAGACATATAAAGTACATAATATATGGAACTGAGAAAATTTAGCAAAGTATGTGCTTAAGGTTTGTGCTTAGTGTTTCACAGACAGTGTGGTATTTCATGAAGTGTAAAACAGACATTTACTGTATGTGATAATTGAAACTGCGAATTTTAATGTTGTGATTTGTTGTTCTTTGACAGATTTAATAGACATTGATGACATAGATCCTGTACTTGACATCTCTTTCATTGACCCACATGTTGGATGCGTGCGAGGAAAACAACAACACAACGGGGCATTGTAAGTTTCAAGTTTATATCACCCCCCTCATGGTAAATAGCATTAATACTAAGGTATTATATTGTTTTCTAGGTTTTGAGATGGACATGTCCAGAGAGCTACGTGTTGAAGAACAAGGAATTGATGGTTGTCCCGGAGAAACTGTCTTACGTAAGATTAATTTGCAGAAATACCGATCCCCGAAGAGAATGAGCGTTCAGATTCATTAGTATGTAATCTGATGCTAGAAATGTTTGTCTAGGAATAGCGGTGTTGAACATGCCTCCTGTGGGTAACTTGTCCACACATGAAGAGAATGAAAGTGAAGGCAATGTTCGAAGAAGTGCTGAACTCCTAGTCCCTGTAAGCCTTGTCCCTGATGTTGGGATGAAGTTTTCGAATTATGATGCCATATATGAATTCTACCATACTTATGCAAAGGGAATGGGGTTTCCCATTAAAAAGAGAAGTTTGAGGAGGGGATGTCATGGAACAATACGTTCTATCACAATCTCATGTGGTAGAGAAGGGAATAGGGTGAGCCGATCTAAGAATTGTCTAAAGCCACAAGCCCGATCCAATTGTGGTTGCACAGCCCGAATAACGGCAACATGTGATGATGAAGGTGTGTTTACTATTA